TGGTTTGGGAGGCCAGATGACAGAGACGCGTCCATCTCACTGCTAATTCCACTTTCTTTTTGCTTCTCCTCCCTTTGTCTTCTTGCTCCTTCCTCCCAGACATCTGCCCGCAAAATCTGGCTTCCTTCTGATCTGGTTATTTCCATCATATTTGCTGTGTTTACATCAACTTAATGTTGACAGCAGTCTTCGTGCTTTGGCCATCTTGATCACGGTATGTTGCTGCCACGTACTAACAACAAAGGGTTATCTCAGCATGAAAGTTTATGCAGAAGGAAACATGTTTTTCAGATTTTTTAAAAAGACAGTAACTCTGGGTACATTTAGGCTGGTATACAACACTGATTTCCAAGGATTTGAAACAACACCTAATATACATGAAGTCTATTATCTTGCACACCAAATTTCAGTAGCCTTCAGGGACACCAAATTACCAACGAAGCAAATGACATGATACAGTGGTTAGGTGTGCAGGTTTTATAATAAAAAAGGAGGTGATAATGATTGAGTATATGTGCTTCAAAGTTTTATGTAATTTACCAGATAAAGCTAACCTTTTTCCCTCTTATAGTCCAAAAAGCCTGTATTTGATAGATACCCTCTTCTAAACATTATTTCAGTTTGTATTATTTAAAATAAGCCCAGATGTTCATTACTCTTGAGTTATAAAAGAAAGATACAGGTGCTATAAAGTTACGGTAGAAACGGACTTAAGCAAAAGAAAAATGAGAAAAGAACGGTCAGATGGGGAAAATATGCTCTCAAAATGGAACTCTTTGCTAAGAGCCACAGATGCAATACCTTGAGCCTCAGGAGAGCTTTAATTAGTCCAGCTCTTCCTGCAGCGCATGCTCAGAAGCTATGGTGCTGACTGTAAATTAGGGCAAGGAAATCCAGCAGGGACCTGGGTGGGTAAAGGGGGAAGGGCAGCATCTTAAAGGGGCAATGAGCACTTAAAAGAGCAATGCCTGTCGGCCCCACCACTCCTGTCCTAGGCCCTTCAACCTACCACCACCACCAACCCACCCCACCTTCTGTGTTCCCTATCTGGATTAACAGTACTTCCATTTTCCCAGTCAGCAAAGCCAGAAACATAGGAGTCATTCCTGGTTTTTCTCTCTTTTGCCTCTGCAAAATGTGATCACCATCAATTTTTGCAGCTTTTACCTTAAATTTGACTTCATTTCGCCATCCCTATTATCATTGTTCCGGTTTAAGCACTGAGGTCCTCACTGGGTCCTGCCTGGGCCATTAGAACAGTGTCTCAACTGGTGTTATATGAATTTTCCACTGCTGCAAAATCACCTCTTAAAATCACATCACTCCAGCTTAAAACACGTCAGTGGGTCCCCATCACCTATAGGAAAAAGTCCAAGTTCCTTAGAACTACCTACCTGGCTTCTATTAACCCATCTAACCTCATTTCTGACACTTCCCAGGTTGTACTTTCTGTTCTCACAATAACTAACTGTTTTTAGCATATATCTCCTAATACAAGGTGAATTAATACTGAGTGTACAGTAGAGGTTTTGGCCCATTTAAAATACATAAACTTTTAAGGAGTAAGATGAAATAACTGAATTTTTAGTTAACAATTTGTTAATTTAGCTATATATCATATAACATATCAATTTATAATTTTTTTCACACCCATACATCATGATGTCAAAGAAAAATTTTCAAAAGTTAAAAATATGATTCTCTTACCAATTTAGAATGAACTCATGTCAAAGATTTTATTTTAATTGATGAAAGAATCAGTAGGATGGTAAAGCCAGTTCTAAGAGCATTTGAGGAACTGGTTATTTCTAGAAAAAAAAGAACGTTAATATAAGATTCCTGGATTAGTTACAGAACCAGTTAATGTTTTACAGGGCATTGAAATAATAGATTATCTTTCCTATTGAACATAACCATTTATATCTCTACCAAACAAAAATCTACAAATTTACATGTAACTGCGTAGCATCTGGACTTTAATTCATAATAAATAGCAAAGACAAACACAGGTAAATTCTCTTACTGAATTAAATAGTCCTGGGGTGGGCCTGTTAAACAATGCTTCATTACATCCTCTGTTTGCTTTCTTATTATTTCTAAGTGCAGGATAATTTTTCTCAACAATGGAAGTTTTTTATTAAACCACTTCACATGAATCTTCTCTATCAGTGTTTTGGCACCACAATAGTCACTTCTTGAGTCACCTAAGAAAGTTTTCCAGAATATAACATCTTTATATCCTCCTACATTTTCTCAGATAAAGCATTTTTGGAAAGTTGTGTAGGTTCTTATGTTTGAGAAAACATAACATATTAAAAAACTATAAACATTATAGAACACGGTGTAGTTATGTAGATGTTAAAAATGTAGGAGTAACTACCAAAACAATAGTAATAATCATGCAATCTGTAGCTCTCCAAAATAGCAAAAAAGAGTGAAGGGCAGTAGAAAAACAGCTTTAAGACTCCAACAGACGGTCAAGGAGGAAAAAGAAAGAAGATGATAAACACAAAGCACAAAAATTAAAAATAACTTTTAATATTTATTTATTTTTTATTTAATATTTATTTTATTTAATAAAATAACTGGGTATAAATAATCCCAAATATATCACTCACAATAAATGTAAATGGATTTAACTCTCCTGTTAAAAAACAGAGACTACCAAATTGGATGGAAAAAAAAAATCCTCCTTCCATAAACATGCCTAGAACATAACAAAACCAAAAGGATGAAGATAAAAAGATTACAAAAAAATAAGAACAACAAAAAAAACTGATGCAGCAATATGAACTTTAGACAAAATAAAAATTAGGACAAAAAGCATTAAAAGAGAAAACAGTTATTTTATCATGATAAAAGGAATGAGTCAATTGTACTTTTATGAACCTATAGAAATAAAAAAAGAACTTGATAAAAACTCAAATATAATAACCATTTTGGAAGATTTTGACACATTTATTAAAAACTGATATATCCAGTAGAGAAAAATCCAGTAGTAATACAGACTACTTAAATAAAATTAACAAGCTTGATCTAATATATAGAGAACCCTGCACCCAAACAAATGGAGAGTATTTTCAATACGTTCAGTACAGTTTTCTAAAATGACCACATACTAGGTCAAAAGAAAACTCAAACAACAATTTCCAAGATTTAATATCATTGCTGTTCATGCAGCATTTAAATAGGTAATCAACAATAAACAGATCATTAAAAAGTAGCCACAGGCATTAATTGGAAACTAAAAAAAAAAAAAAAAAGGAACAAATAGCTCATAGGTTAAAGAGGAAATTATAATGTTCTGGAATATTTAAAACTAAAGACAAGGAAAGTACCACATGACAAAACATGTGTGGGATAGAGCAAAGCACTATCTAGAGAGAAATGCATAGCCTTAAGTATAATTATTCTTAAAAAAGAAAAATTTGAAAGCAAAGAAACTAAACTTCCAAGTCATGTAGCTAGTAAAAGAATTACAGAGTAACAAAAATAAGTAAAGAAAAGAATTCATACAATCCATAAAATAGGAAACAAAGAAATATAGAAAAAAATCAGAAAATAAAAACTGGTTCTTTAAAAAACAATAAAGTAGACAAACCTCCAGCAAGACTGATAAAAATGGAACAATAAAAATGAACAAAATTAAGAATGAAAAATGGGGCATAAATACATCTAGAGCATGATTTTAAAAAACCCTAAGAGAACAAAATGAACAAAAGGTTCAAAATGAAAAAAGGTTTATTCCAAGAAAAAAAATGACTAAAAGTAATTCAAGAACACAAAGCCGTAAAAATATGATATCCATCCATCCGTCTGTCTATCTACCTCTGTAATAAAGAGGCTCCCCCTGCAAAACAAGCCAAGTCCAGATGGTTTAAAGGAGAGTTTTACCAAACACTTCCAACTCATTTCACTAAACTACCATAATCCTCGCACCAAATCCAGACAGGACAGTGGAAGAAAAGAAAATTACAGGCCTATCTCACTCTCTTAGATGTAAAATCTTAAAGAAAACCTTAGCAGGTCACCTCTTCTGTTTAATATTGTATTGGGGATCATGGCCTGGACAATGGAATACTATGCAGCTGTTAAAACCAATTGAAGGAGGTGGAGAAATGAAGAGACTAGGGCAGGCGGCCAGCGTCCCTCAGCCCTGCCGCGTCTTTCCCCACCTTTCCATCCCGGCAAACTGCTGTTTTTCCTTCAAACACCTTGAAAGCCATCACCTCCTGTCCCACAGATTAATCTCTCCTGTTTTGTATTTCCTTTGTACCTCGTGTACATTTGTATATGCAAATATATCTCATGGTTTTGCAAGAATTTGTTTACCTAGACCACAGAGCTAGAATAGAGTGGGATTGCCAAGAAATGTTGAATAGCACTATTCTCCGAAGGATCTAGAACACCCCATCCCCACCTCCTGCATTAAACTGATTAGTACAAAAGGACAAATAATGCTGAGCCGCCACCAGGTCACGGAACAGTTATCGCCCTCCCGCTCTCCCCCCAGCAGGGGCCATGGAGTAGACCCGGCTGCAGCTCCGGAGTTTCTCCACCCGAGAGCATGCCTCACACCCCAGCCCACTTCCTCTTTCCTCTCACTTTAAGCGGCGCAGACACCAATCGCTCGCACACAAAAAATCTTTAACAGGAAGCCCAGAGGCCAGGGGACCGGGCATCCAGCCCCAGACTCGTACTCTGCCGGCCGCCACCCGGCCTTCCGCGCCTCGGAGCGCGCGG